GACTTACAACTCTAGAAATATGTCTGTGGACTTACAACTCTAGAAATATGTCTGTGGACTTACAACTCTAGAAATATTTCTGTGGACTTACAACTAGAAATATGTCTGTGGACTTACAACGCTATAAATATGTCTGTGGAGTTACAACACTAGAAACATGTCTGTGGAGTTACAACGCTATAAATATGTCTGTGGACTTACAACGCTAGAAATATTTCTATGGACTTACGACGCTAAAAACCGGGTTTCGATACCCGTGGTGGGCAGAGCTCAGATAGCCCATTGTGTAGCTTTGTGCTTAACTTCAGACAAACAAACAAACAAAAAGCAAATAAAGTCGGTCTTTTAAGCGAGCTTTTGAAGAAATCAGGAGGGGGGAGAGGTTGTACTAGAACTTAGAAACGAGGAATGCAAGGAAGCACAGTAAATTCATGAAACATTGGTGGCTATACTATTTATATTAAATATAACTAACTGAACGAAGAAGGTTAGATGAGGCCATAGACGGAACTCAAATCTAAGCTCGCATGACGGGCGGAAAAAATCGATAGTGTACCAGCGAGATACACGAAGATTGAGCCTTTTATCCTCTATCCGACCTTGTTCTTTTCGATTTTCTCTCTCTTTCCTTCAGCGCGAGCTGCATTTCCAGTAAAGGAAGGCCTCGCGCCTCTTCGTATTCAATCAATTGACTTTATATTTCGAAGTGTCACGCGCATCTAAGATTTTGTTGTAGACTTTCACCGAGCTAGCTAGTCGCTGCTGTATGAATGCCTGTTTACCGTGTAGGGCAAACACAATTAGCTTTCGTTCGACCTTGCCTAGTCGGCGCGTTAATGGTATTAACTTTTTTTATCATTCTTTCGCTGCTGTACGTTTCTTTCAGGTTTTTTTTTTTTTTTACGATCCGAATGCGTGTATTCAACCTCTTTCTAAGCTGCAGCTGTATTGAAACGTTTATATCACGTCAAACATCCGTCCGTTTTTACATCTTTCGTCCGAAAATGTACGCGATGTATTGTTACCTGTCGTGGCCAATTTTTGTCTTATCGTGAGGGCAAAATCACATTTATGAATTGAAAAAATTATAGAGAACTTATCTTTTATTGGATTTCAGATTTTACTTTTGTAAATAGTAGCATAACATTCAAATATTTGTACAAAATTGTATTGTTTAATGAAGTTTAAAGAGAAATTTAATTAAACAAATCCCAAAATACGTTTGACACTATAAATAAGCGCCCTCTAAGAATTTTTTTTTTCCAAAATTAAAAAGAAAAAAGTTTCCTTCCACTTCAGCGCTCGTCCTGCCATCTATGATTGGTATCTAAACCTTTTTCTAGTCTGCTTTCTTTATAAAACAGCGTCTGGCCGTGTTAATACTATGTTTTCTTGTTGAAACATGGAAAGAAATTCGTGATTGTGTTACGTTTTTTTTTTGTTTTTTTTTCAGTTTCTTTTGTCGAGATAAATTTAATGTAATACATTAAATATTTATATTACATTTTCTAATTCTTAACGTCTACTGCCCTTTTTCTCATGCCCCAGTAACTTAGTGGTTAATCTGCAGGCTTACGACGCTAACAATCTGGTTGCAATACCCGCAGTGAGAGGACAAATAGCCCATTGAGTAGCTTTGAGCTTAATAACAACCAACCAATCAAACCTTATAACTAGTTTTAATTTTGAGTTAATTGCATTTGTCCAATTTCGTAATATTCCAATTAAGAAATAGTTGCCCCCCAGTAGTTGTTTGAATTTATGCACAAAGCTACACAATGGGCTATCTGTGCTCTGCCCACCACGGGTATCGAAACCCGGTTTCTAGCGTTGTAAGTCAGCAGACATACCGCTGTGGAAATAGCACAATAAAAAGCGTTTTCTTTCTTATTATAATATCACTGTCAGTCAGTATATATAACAATATTTTATTGTAGGTCCCCCCCCCAAAAAAACAGAGTGAAGTATAGTGTTCAACGAAATCAATGATTAAATCTCCCTTGGATGCTGTTCTAGTAAATTACTTTATTGTGACACACATATCTATCGTTTCTAAGCAAGTAGGCCAGGCTGTGCTTTGGAAGGTCCAAAGTTAGCGTCACAAGGTGCTACTGAACGTGTTCCACACTTTGACATTGTAACTGGGACAACCTCTGTGGGACAGTGGTAAGTGTACACAAACTTACAACGTTAAAATCTGAGGCTCGATTCCCCACGGTGGACACAGCAAATACCCCAGTGTGGCTTTGCTCTAAAAAAACAAACAACATAACTAGGGACAGCCAAGCCTGCAATTAGGTTGAGAGTGATTTCATAGGTGGCAGCAGGTGCTGCTGACTGGTTGTCCTCCCTCTGGTTAGGATGGTCTTCCTAAACCTAGACCTGCTTGTTTAGGAAGACCATAGTAAATAAATATTGTGAAGAAAAGTAACATCAAGATTTTTGAATTACTCTTTGCAAGAGGAAAAGGTTCGACCTAAAAAGATATATTTATTTATAATGTCACTGGGAGTGTAGGACAAAAAATGTAATATGCTCACACTTTGATTCCATTTATCTGTCCTTACCGAAAAAATTTAACAAAGTTGGACAGAAATTAAAAAAAAAAATCCTTAATTAGAGATTCTTAATTTGTAACTTGGTTTACTCTACTGATTCCTCTGGATTTGAAATTTATGGTAATAAAGGTGTGAGAAGGCATGATACTTCTTTCGTTGTGTCCCATATCTTGGGGTTTATATTGGTTTTAGAAAAATACCATCCTTCTTCATCACCCTGAAATGATGATTATTGATGGATTTACATTTTCACTATTCTGATGGAATTGCAATTCTGTGTAAAAGTTGTAATCATTTGATGTCTTCTTCTGTTTTTCCATAGGAGAATTGCCACCAAGTCTAAGAAACAGTGGTAACATCCTCTCTGATAAGATTAGAGGTGAGAGTCTCACCTCTCCTCTGCCCAGCTATCCTCCTTTCCAGAATGGACCTATAAAAGATGAGCCAGTGACTTCACGTTCTCCAGAAGTGGTTTTAAGCTCTACTACAGGACTACCCCCTAATACTGTATGTGCGAGCACCCAAGGACTGTCTTGCCCCACTCTTCAGGTAACAATAAGTGGTTCAAGGGATTCTTTAACCACGTGTGTTAGTTCAGCAATCTCTGCAGTGTCGGCTACCTCAGCAAATAGTTTTTCAGGACTCAGAGAAAATTGTCCTCCTCGCCTCTCGCCCGTCAACTCCGGAAGCCTTTTAAATGTTAACAGTATCTCTCAGATTGGATCTTCAATTGCCAACAGTCATTCTGGTGGAAGTAAGAAGAATAGTGTTCGGCTTCCTCCGCCAAATCATACAGCCAAGTCACTGCCATTACTTGCTGCACACCTAAGTCAGACCTCTCCACACAGTAAGAATATTTGTGCCACCATAAATGGTGTGAAAACAAGTTCAATTTCTAATAGTGACCTAAAGGGTGGACCAGCACTCCCTAAAACTTCTGTACCTGCTTCATCACTGTTTCCTTTCTCTTTTCCATCATCACACATCTCGCACGAACTGTCACCGTCCATCTCAACCCAACAAACGACAAATACCCCTCATTCCGTATCCTCGACTTCACCGTCTTATTCCTCTCTTCTGTCTCATAGTCCTTCCAATTTGGGCATTTCTCGATCCACCTCTTCAGTTTGTCATAGCAGTCTCTCTAATCACCACTTAGGTGGACGAGGTTTAAGCCCAAGTCTTACACCGAGCAATCCTCATCCAAAGACACCTACCCTAACAGTCAGTAGGGATAGCCACAGCAATAGCAGTTTGTCCAGTCTTAGCCAGTTGAGCCACTCTCAGCATAGTAACAACAGCAAGGAGAGTGCTAGAGAAGGTAACAGCTGCAACAGCTCAAGAGGTAACACTCCAGCTCTGAGTGGATCCTCAGCTCTGGGAGGACACGGTCCCAGCAGCTCGAACAACACTCCCTGTTGCACCTACGCCACTGCTACTTATGGAAGCAGTGGACTGACTAGTCTTGTATTTACCAAGTCTCACTCTTGGGGGAGGTAGGTGTTGGTTTCTCATGCTATATTAGTAAGTCCCTACTATAAGCACCTTCTGACCATTGTTAAATATGAGATAAATGGTAATTTGTTACACTAAGATTAAGCATGTTCAGTCCTTCACATTTGAAGAATGCAAACAGCCCACGGGGAATGTTAGCAGGCTAATGCCATATCTCGATTAATTTGTTTTAACTGAATTTTACTTTTTTTTTTCTGTCAACAAAACAAAGTTTCACTGGCTATATTGAGACATGTTCAGAACTTCCCACTGAACTATGATGACCTCCAATCAATATACCATCCCTTGCAGCATCCTATCATGCACAAAGTAGTTTGTCAAATGCAATTTACGTCACAATCAAATTTGCTAAGACTTGTTAGTCTGACTTAATATCCAGTTTTGTAATTTAACCTTTAAAATGTTGACGTAATTTCTCAGTTACAAATATATCATGTCTTTATACAACAATATTGTTCGAAAATATCATATTACTACTCATGAAAAATTGAAGTTAAGGGCTAATTGAAGTTAAAGAATCAGAGCCGTAGGGTCGCACAAAGTTATCTGTGAGCTTGTCTATGTATACAGACAACAGCTGGTTGAATGGCCAATGCCATGACAAATAATAAAAGGATCTGAATGCAAAAGTATATTTATTTCTTGGTGAGAAGAAAAGAACCAATAGTGGGCCCAAGACAGTTGGTGTCATGACAAACTTGACGGGGGGGGGGCTCTAACAAGCACTTACAAAACTTGTTTTACGAGTGATTTCGAGTGTCAGTGTAATGACGCCTGTCAAATGTAGGACTGAATGTGTGAAGGACTCGATAAATCAGTCGGTGTAGCTATAATTTTATTTCACAATCTCTGAAAGTTAACACCCAAAAATTTTATACTTTGAAATTTAAGTTTTACATTTCGCTGTTAAATGGACTTGTTTAAACTCGGTAGAAATTTAACTCAATTTTCTGTACACATGAATAGACTAAATTAAAATATAGTTGTAATAGGCTTTTGAGCTAGATACTTTTATTTTACAATCATTATTCTTGCTCTCATCAGCTCAAACACCAATCCAGTTCTTGGTAGTACTAATGGGCCTGCCTTGACTGGAACAAGTGCAAGTTCTAATTCCATCCCATTGCCTCCATCACTCCATAATAGCCACCATTCATCTCCATTTGGTAGCCTTCCAGGCCATCCAACACTACATCCAGCAATGTTTGGTCCAGCTCTGCATCCAGCAGTTTCTCTACCGACATCAAGTTCTTTGGGAGCCTCAGCTGGACCTTCTCCGTTTGTTACAGGAGAAGCTATGTTTCCACAACCAAGTAATTACTGAGTCATTCAGCTTTCTTCTTATAAGCATATTATTACAGTTTTGTATTCAGTCAAAAATATGTAATTAATAGGTACCAATAAAATAAGGTTGGACAATAAAATCATATAGAAGCAAGAAATAATAAAAATGACAAGTAGTCCAATAACCAATTAAAACTAAAGTGTCTATAAAGTTAATCAGTTGTATCAAAATCAGTTAAACGTATTTCAAGAGTTAAAAAAAGATATTTCAAAATCTTTTAAAACCAAACAGACTGCAATTAGGCAGTTATTTTAGTTATAAATCAAAGTAATTGCAATTAGTCAAAACAAAAGTCGTCCAGTAAAACACAAACGGTTAAAACTAAACCATATACAAAATATACATCTCCTCCTTGTGTTGTGAAAAACGTTCTGGGTGAAATGATGGTCAGGTTACGAAACTGTGATGTGTGTTTTTGTTAGAGAGGAAGTTAAGACCAAATTTGTTACACAAGTTTAGTCCAGTGTTTCAGGATGAGTTGAAAGAAAAGTATTTAAGGCACAGAGTAACAACAATTATGCAATCAAAAACACTGTGTTCAATGCTTTAATGTTTCAAAGTTATCATCCCATAGTTACTTTAGTTAATCTCAGAACATAACTTTCATAATGTTTTGATTAACCCTAAAAACATCTCCTTTGCACGTTACTCTTTCGTCTAGATCCAGACTTCCTACGTCGAGAGCTGGACACAAGATTTTTGGTATCGCATGAACGAACCCTTGGGATTCATCCACCACCACTTCACCAGCACCAGCATCAACACAACCATCTGCACCATCAACATAGCCCTTTCTTACCTCCACCTCATCTGGGTAGTTCTATGGTGCCTCCTCAGCCACCTACTGCCCATTTGGTCAGTGGTTTGACAGATGAAATTTCACTTTCGTTGTATTAATATTTTCTTCCTCTGAAGCACATTTCAGATAAACACCAGCGTCACTTATTCTATAGACTATTAATAGGTCGTAGATATTGAAGTAAGCATGGTGTAATGAAGATAAATTTATTGTTGAATAGAAACATCTATCTATTACACTAAAGGTTATGGACCAGTGTTCTTGTGTTGAATTTGTTATAGTGTTGGTTATGAGAAATTTGTTCCAAGTTCTGCTTCTGAGGAACTTCCTGTCAAATGATTGTGCAAAAGTTTATTGTCAGTTGTTATTGGTTATGTGGAATTTATTGTCAATTGTTATTGGTTATATAGAATTTATTCTCAATTGTTATTGGTTATGCATGAACATCATTTCACCTAGACTTCTTTTTTTTCACTATACAAGGAGATAGAATTCACTTACATTAGTTGAAGCAGCATTATATATCTGATTTTGTTCTTACTGAAATGCCTCAAATAGAGTTCATCATGGATGTATCTTTCGTGCGTAAGTTTTACCAACTAATTTCCTTTACTAGTAGTGGCACAAAAAAAGCAACCATTTCCTCCTACCACTATCATAGGACTAAAGTATCACATAACGTTAACTGGTCAGTTCCTTACACTCAGTACATTATACCTAACCACGATGTATTTGACAACAAATGCCACCAGTGAGATGTAATAGCAATGTGATACTCATGTGGAAACATCATATCAAAGAATACTGCATAACTCCCCAACAGTGAATTCAATATGAAAATAACCAACAGCAGACAGTAAATTCCACATAACCAATAACAATTGACAGTAAATTCTATATAACCAATAACAATTGACAATAAATTCTATATAACCAATAACAATTGACAATAAATTCCACATAACCAATAACAATTGACAATAAATTCTATATAACCAATAACAATTAAGAATAAATTCCACGTAACCAATAACAATTGAGAATAAATTCTATATAACCAATAACAATTGAGAATAAATTCTATATAACCAATAACAATTAAGAATAGATTCCACATAACCAATAACAATTGACAATAAATTCTATATAACCAATAACAATTGACAATAAAATTCCATTACGAAACTATGGTATGTGTTCGTTTGGATGTTGATGTAAAAGTCTGTTTGCAATACTATTCCAGAAATCATTTTTTAAGTAAGTTATTACTTTTCCAGTAATTCTTAGCTGTGATGCCCAACCTTCAAAGTTTGTAACCGATTCTACAGACACTTTTCTTAAATGTAGGCCTAACTAAAAATTGCTTCATACAAATTTTAATGATTTTAAATCACCCATTTTATAACTTCGATGTTTATCAGGACTGAAGTCGTAATTTTTATAATCTGGAAATAATATAGTATTAATCAGTTATACTGCGAAACTTAAATAAAATGAATACTTTGATAACTTTTTATTAGTTTTTAAAGTTTCCAGTGCTGACCAAATGATGGAAACCATATTTAAGAGAGACAATAAAGAACTTCAGAGAAAATTTTGTTATTATACCCAACATTTCAGCTTCTGCATTTTTTTGACTGTGATGTTCAAAGACCCTCAAAAAAGACGTAAGCTGAAATGTCAGATAAAATAAAAAGTGCCTAAAATCGTTTGTCGTCTTTCTTGAATATAATTATTTTATTTATCTTTATTTGGATGTTAAATGAAACATGATCGGTGTATTTATATTTCTGTTTAGTTATTACTTCTTTTGTTCTTGTTACAGTACGACAAGTATCCCAAACTGGAAGGCCCTTTGTACAGCAGGAACACGGTAAGTGAGACTGAAGTCTTTGCATTTCGAAAATAGAATATTATACAGAACGTTATTGAAATATTGTATCACTTACATGTCTCGGTGTTAGAATAAAAAATTAGAACATTCACTTTCAAATACTGAGTTAAGTTTTACTGTATGGAAGTTGTGTAGAAACCCAAACTGGTATAGCAGGTAGCGAGGCGTTTTAGGGCTAATGAAAGTGACTAAAATCACACTTAAGTGCAGAAGTTTTTGTTAATTAGGCCATTACAGATTTAAAAAATGGAATTGATAAGTTCTGGTACTTGAAGAAAGGCATATGAATAGATATAAGGTTCCTGTTCCAGTTTTCTTAAAAGTTTAGATGCAAATGTGGATCCTGTAGAATCTTATTATTTCATAAATTATGAAAGATTACTGAATTTCACTATTAGGAAGAAACACAGTTGGCCTGTGTACATCAATAATTTGGTATTATTTTGCATTAGAGATGATCTAATAAGATTGTGAATAATTTGTGACTTACGGTTCTTTTCTCCAAACAACAATGTTTGATACTTTTCACTGCGATATAGGTTCAGCTTATCTCTCTTTGGTTAACTTGTGTTCAGGGTTACTGATGA